TGGGACCTCAGCATCAGCTAAAAAAAAATTTGACCAATGAACAATAGTGGCCATTGGGTCACACAATTAAGAAGAACAAAAGAACTAAAAGGACGAGCCCAATTCATTTAGCTTTGAGGATTGAAGGAAATCTAATTTTCTCATGATGACACCATTGTCATAAAGCTATGGTGTACAATCAATATAGTGAAGAGGATACTGTTTGATAATAGGAGCTCGACTGACATCCTTTAAGTAGGATATGTTGAAACCTTCTATCACCACATTGATCGGTTTTGAAAATGAACATGTGTCAGTTAAAAGAATTATCAGGTTACCGATCACACTAAGAAACAAAAATCGAAAGCTGTCATCTCTATTGTTAAATTTATGTTGGGTAGACGTCCCCCCTTAGCAATACACCATGATTTTAAGTAGGTCGAGGCCAATTTATTATGAGAATTGTAGGCTTGATTCCTTATTTCAAATCAAATTTCTTACTCCCAATAGATAAGAGAGGTTTGAAGATTTTAGGTTCACGATAAAACAAATGTTATGTTACTATGATATATTCAATAATATTCTTTAATTTATTCTTTAATAATATTAAATTATTAAATACTAAATAGTCATATGATTAATATTGAATAATTCTATAAGTTTAATAAATTATCTTTATATAAAATTTATATTGCTAAAAATGATATTGTTACATAAATAACATTCAAAATTTATCTTTAAAAAGATATTGTTACATAAATTTTCATACTAAAAAAAGCAAAACCTCAACCAGAAGTCTAAACAAGGAATGAAGACATGATAGGACAAAGAAAGTAAAAGGATTAAATAATAATAAATCATTTACTTTTAAAAACCTTTTGATAAGTTTATAGCCATCGGTATGTTGATTATTTCTATTTTTTAAATTTAACATGAAAAATAACTTCTTATATATATAGTATATATGGTATATATATATATAATATATATATAAAGGAGTGATCACCCCACTAATTAAATATTTTTATAACTAATTATTTTGTAACGCATGTGTTTTTTCGCTTAGTGTCGTATCAAACAAATTTTATGGTTTCAAATACGGTTGAAATTCATGTCAATGGATCGTAGTTCATGCTATGTAAAAATGAGTCCAAATAAATATAAATAAGATACAATTAATTAATCATATGAAAACCTTTAATTCGTACGCATAATGTAGTTAATAGAATTAAATATGATTAATCTATTTAGATATGAAATAGTCAATTCATTTAGAAACAATTAATATGTTTAATAAAAATTTGAAATGTTGAAAAAAATCATGTCAATAAATACAAATACTATTTCCATATTTATGGTTTGACCATCAAAAATTTTTTATCCAACATTTCACCTAATCGACTATCAATTGACGATCAAGAATTGCCAATGATGATAATATTAACATTTTATAGCCTTTTATCAAAACTTATAAATGCCGACAAAATTAACTTTTTTGTAGTGAATGTTTTGAGTTGTTTTATTTTTTTCTTTGAAATAATTTTTATGTAAAGATCGTAAGGAATTTGAACTTCAAATTTATTAAATATCACCCTTTAAGGTGGCTACATGGTCGAGATTTCTCCGCTTTATGCTCCTCCATTTCAAATTATGTTCTTGCTTCTTTGACTTCCTTTTGTGTTTGCAATTAGACATAGTAGATTAGCTTTTGAAGCCAATCCATATAAATATTTATATGGTGCTCATGGAAGACTCCTAATGCACATAGACATGTGTAAGTTACCAAGTTCATACGCATCAACTACTTTTTCCCTTTCGTTTTGCATAGTCTTGTAATTACCTATTTTCACTTGTAAACGTGCTATTGATATGACATTAATTTGAATTAATGTCAGGATTGCTCTATGAGGAAATACTAGATATTTGATTTGCAACTTCTTCATTTTACGACCATAATCAATTCAGACATCAGTTGTTTAATTGTTATTTCATTTTGGCTCCACCATGTAAATTGTCTTTCCTTAGCTTGAACGTTTTATTATTCAATTGCCTTTTTATTTTTCCACCTGGATTTAGTTTTGTTGAAGGAAAACAGTCTTGTTGACATGCAATTTCATTACAATCTCATTTTAGTTATCATCTTGTACGTCAACCTTTTTGCCTAACAAGTCTCAACCAATTGAAGTTCTTCCAATTATCATTAAGATTCACAATCAACTTCTGGAGCTTTTGCTGACTTGAACCTGAAAAACTCGTTCAACCTGAAAACTAATAGTAATAACAACGGAAGGCTTAGGCGAAAAAGACTGATTCATGTTCTCCATTTCATCCCTTCAACAAGAATCAATTAACATTGCCTGACTTATGAAATGCTTGTTCCGTATAAATAAGATTAAATCAAGCTAGAAAATACCAGTGGTCAGAGCAAACATCACAATCTCAACTCCAATGAGAAGAAATTTGGCTTTCGCCTCACTGTTCTTTACGAGCTTTAGATCTGGCAGGTTTTGCAGGTATTATGTAACCCAAGAGAATCAATGCCATCGGAAGGATGGTTCCAGCATAATACACACCCCCGTATGAGGCAAGTGTCTCATGCATGCTTAGTACCTGCACCATTCAAGAAGAAAAGCTTATTAAAAACTATAAAGTTATGGAAATGATAAATTTATTCATCCCTCATGATCATCCCACGCCATCCATCCATCAGTAAAATGGCTGACTAACGGATGGCTTGATTGGATGCATGTATCATCACCCAAAAGTTATACAATTTCTAATAACTGACGGTTTAACCTGAGAGAGAGAGAGAGAGAGTTACCATAAAACCAACACAGGAGTAGTTCAGAACAAAAATTGTGTAAGCAAAGTTCGCGAAGGCAACTGCTTTCTTCGCAAGAGCCATATTCGTAGGTACAGCTTGTTCCCATCGGAAAATAACTGCTCAGAAAGACAATGGGAGAAGTAAAAAAATAAAAAAATAATAATAAATTGATCCAAATAACAAAATGGATGCTCGTATCAGTACCTCTTGAACCAGCAATCATCAAAGCTGACTGAACAAAGAATATGATGTACCCAGGATACAGTCCCTATAGCAAATCAGAAAAGGTGAGAACAAAAGAAGGTTAAACATATAAGAGAAATGCCAGGAAAATTTTGGGAGAAATATAGTGGAAAAGGAAAAATATGACAAGTATTGTGTGAACACTATTAAGTTTTTCAGTATTAATGCAAAATGACTCACATGCCAAACAGCACTGACAGTCTGTGTGGCCAGCAACTGGAAAAAACCAGGCTTCTTCCCCTTGGTAATAAGTCTCTCATAAACATCTGCACCAACAGAGTATAAGTTTAAATTTTTACTCAAGATATCTTATGACTTTAGCCGGAATTTACTTCAATTTGTCCTACATATCCATGAGATGGTCTATGCTAACAAAAGCAAAAAAACTGCTGTCACTTTAAAAGCAAAAAAGCCATACCATATTGTAATCAAATATATTTTGACTCATTACACATAAAATTTAGCATTTGATGGAGATTATGACAAAAAAAAAAAAAAATCCTACCATTGGACCGCATCTAGCCATCAAGGGAAAAAAAATTTTAAGCCAGACGATCAAACAAAGATGAGTTCAGAAACCAATTCCAAAAGTTGTATAGATTTTAAGGAATATATATACGCGAACAACAAATTTAAGCAAGACTAACAAAGGAAACACAGAAAAGAATAGCAGCTAGAAAGACTCACAGTGACGAAGCCAGGTGCTAACTTGAATGTTCCAGACATGTGGTAACAGCACTGAACTCTTTGCTAACTCAAATCCTAGAATGTCAACAATCTTCGCACGATCCCATTTTGGTTTTGGTGGTGAAGATTCTGTCCATCCACTGAAACCCAGGCCAGATATAATAATAGCTGCCTCCGAAATTGACCAGATGAAATAATATTTCCACCGCATTGAAAAGCCAGCCATATACTGGTAACTCCACTTCTTCCAGAATCCCCATTCTTGGTATACAGGTTCAGTAAACCGAGACAAGGGATAATGCGGTATAAGGTAAAGATACAATGCCATGGCCAAAGCTGCTTGGGCAAGTGCTCGGAGAGTTGCTCCATAAGGTGATGGTGATGGTCCTTTATCTGAACGAGCCCACATCTTGAAGGGGAAAAAGAATAACAATATCATCAAAGCTGCATCCTGGTAACTTCAGAGTAAGAAAGGCATGCAGGAGCACAAACGACATAATAAACTTACCCCCTTCCCTTCTGTCCAGTCAAGGTAGTCCTTCATCTCATAAACTGGACCAGCAAAGTGACTGCCACAGCACAGGCAATACCCAAAATATTCAATCAGTGAAGGCAACTTAATCAACCGGTATTTCTTCTGAGGCCTCACGTAACCCTTCCTCTTTCAACAACCCATCATTGTAATTTATTGCACATGAAATGACTTTCAGTGTCAAGACCATCAACGCACCTAAACATCAAAGAGAGTGCTCCACAATTAACTGACAAGTATAAAGTACTACAGAAGCATTCCCTTGAGAACTCACAAGAAAACTATAGAAAATCTTTGCATAGTCATGTACATAAATGCATTTGCAATGAAATGAACTAAATGTCAAGGTGGGAACAGATTTGCTACTATGAAACCACAAATAACAATAAACTAAGGGTTGAAGTTCATCATAGCTCAAAGAAGCAATATGAAGATTAACCTGATTTATCCATTTCAGTAAAGCATAGAAGATTTACAATTTATTAAATTTCAAACCCAGTAATCGAATTTTAAAGACCAATTTCTCAAATGTGAAAGAGAACTTGAAACATGCTTACCAGTGGCATCGATGCCTCCTTGCTTCCACGCATCCCCGCTCATGTAATATACATGGCTACAACCATATAAGAATAGTCAAGATTCTGAAATAAAAAAGTATTGTTTACAAATACTGAATTATCAAGCATGCATTAAAAGAATTTCAAACAAACTTTAATAGATAATCGAATATCAGTAAAGTGTTGCATTAGCAATACTCTTCTCACAAATTTTCAGCAGGGTCAAACCATCAATTATCTCAGATGGTAAAGGAATGAAAGATGTACATGCATTTACTTAAGTATTCAAAAAGACATACTTGCAATCTATCAGTCAATTTGGCGTGAAAAACCAACAGGCAAGGCCACATAATGTTTTTGGCTGCAAGATTTCCAAATTGCCAATGGATTTCACCATTTTAATAGATATTAAATTATGCAAACAAAATATCACCGTATTAAACTCTCATCCATCATAATTTCTCATTCAAGCAAAGAGAAGTATACCCTTCCTAAGCCTTTTTTTTTTGGTACATAAAAGTTTAGGGTGAAGGAGGCTTCCCCATTCCAGGGCTAAGGAAGGACCTACATTGGATTTACCAATTGCCTGCCCACCAAGGGGACTGCTGGAGGAGGGATTCAAATCTAGACCTTACAAGCAACTCGAAACTTACCAACTCAACCATCCCCATTGGCTAAAACCTTTTGTTTTTGTCCTAAGAAGAAAGAATCAGTTGGCCACCAATACATTAATTTCAGTTAAATGAAAATGAATCTTAATGAGCAACAGGATCACACTACATTGAACTTTTTCATCATTCAGCTCAATAAAACGCATAATCTGCTAAACCCAGCATTGCATTTCCATTCTTTATCTAATTTTTATATTTGATTATTAGAAAAGCAAAAAAAAAAGGAAATCAAGCTGATTTGAGTTCCTGTAGCTTCTCTAGAACTTTTTTAATAATGAAATAGTAATAATTCTATATGTAGAATTACAAAAACAAATTTTAAAAAATATGTAACAGATCTACCAATAAAACTTTCCCACGAAAAGTTTCGTTTTGAAAAATCAATGAAAACACTTACCAGCCAATCAAATAACCAAAACCCAAGAAAAATGTGATAATCCCACACTTGGGGCGATAAAGAACCATTGCAGCATAACCCAATAACATGGGCACCAAGAAATGCAAATTTGAAGAGAACCCAAATGACAGATAGGAAAGCAACGCTCCTGTAAACGCTGAGTAAACGTGTTTAGCTAGTCGGCCTGGAACTGGTCGCCATAGAAAACTCACCGGTATAGTCATCACGAAACATAAAAGGAACCGAAGCACCGGCACAGATACACCAATCGATGCCGCCATAGTTTCCATGTCAAGTTCCATCTTCGTTAGGAATGTTGACTCAGACCCAGTCTTCCAGTCTGATGAAACAAACGAGTTCCGCTCAGTGAGTTTGTAGCGGTCGTCAATTTTTATACACCGAGTACTGACAAAGAAAGCATAAAAAAAAAAAGAAGAAAAGTTTTAATAATTGAATCGAGAATGGGAAATATTTTGATTTTAAGATTTCGTGTACGTTTCGCAACAGGAGATATAAAGCACGAAATTATCCTTTTGTAGGATTCTATCGTGCGCGGCCGTAATCACAGTACATATGCTTCATATATTTGTACTTTTGGTTCCAAAAGGGTCTGACTTTATTTTTGAAGTTAAACGTACAATAACAACAGCGCGTGCATGTTACGTCAAACAAAAATGGAAAACTGGGGGATTTGATGGTTGCCTAGAAATTATCGAACCGATAGGCGTGATTTCCCATGTCCCATAACAGTAATTTTCATTTTATACTTGTGTTCTTTCTCGTGAATGATGATCAAAATTTTTTTAGTTTTTATTTCAAATATTAATTGAAATATAAAAAAACTATTTTCAAGTGGATGGTCAGTGGATCTAGTAATTGTATCAATGTAAATAATATATTAATATTTTTAAATTATTCGAATTTGATTTGAAAAAAATTTATATTCGATTTGATTTTAAAAAAATTTATACTCGATTTGATTATTATCGAATCGAATTCGAGTTCAAGTAATTTGATTTATCGATCGAATTTGAGTATTTTTATATTCGATTTGAATAACTCGTGAGTTTAATCGAACTTTTATATTTAAATATATTTTTATTATTTTAATTAATAAAATATTTCGAGTTCGAGTTCAAGTATAAATAATCGAATTTTTGTCGGGTATACGAATCGAACTTATTTTTACATATTAATCGAATTTAATTGAGCGAGCTCGAGTAGCTCGAATTCAATTACGAATTGAGTTCGGACTTGAAAAATAAAACTCAATCGAATTCGAACCGAATATCGAACCCCGAGTTGTGAGTCGAGCTTGAACTTGAGCTTAAACTTCTCGCCGTATCGATTCGACTCGACTCGATTACACCCTTAAGTAACTAATTTCATGAAACCCCTCTAAAAATTTTTTAGTGTTGTTAGAATGCATTTGCTCTTTACATTTTAATTTTTTTAAATATTTTATAAATAAAATTATTTAATTAACCTTTATTTTTTACACAAATTTTTGAAAATTTTTTTTAAAAAAATTATAAATCTTTTAGAAAATAAATTTTTTAAAAATCATAAAATTTTTCAAAAATTCGTTTTTTAAAATATTTGAATTTTGAAAAGTTAAATTTTTAAAAATATTTATAATTTTTTAAAAATTATATGATTTTTTGAAAATTTAATTTTAAAAAATCATAAAACTTTAAAAAATTATAAAAAAATAATTAAGTAATTTCATTTATCATTTTTTTTTATAAATTTAAGTTATAGATAGAAAAAATAAACATTTAAAAGCACTCAAAATTTTTCTTCCCACGGGACCCTCACTTTCCCAAAATACCCCAACTCTTCTATTTTTGTTTCCTTTTTACCCTTGAAACTATTATACATTGATGAAAATGTTAATGTCATATAGCTTTTTTTTTTTTCCTTTCTCTTTTTTATTTAAAAATTTTTAAATAGCTTTTTAATCTAATAGAGATAAATAGAATTTTATGATTTATAATAAACTAATTAAGAACTAAATAACTTAATATTATTTATGCATTTATTCAATTTTTAGTTATTTATTTATTTTAGCCAATAATTTTATTTGGTTGTTTATTTTTATTTAAAAATAATTAATCCTAAATCCAAAAATTTTAATAATTTATTACTTTCATAAATGTTAAATACTAAAAATTTCATTGTATACAAACTTTAATCTTATTATTATTTGATATAAAATAATTATAGTGATTTTTAACTTTTTATTAATTTCACATATATAAAAAATATATTATAAATTTTATTATATATAAGTTTTCATCTAATATCTTTAATGATATTTTTTTTATTATATTTCATTTCACCATCACAGTTACTTTTATATTTGAGCACATATTTTATCATTGATTTCAATTTTACTGTTAAAAATGACGAAGTAAAAAAAAAAAAAAGTCTAACAGAAAGAATGAAAGAAATAGGGATGATAATGGTTTTGTTTAGTTTGATTATTTTGTTTGAATATCTAATATAAATTTTTATAATTTGATTTGAATTTAAATTAATAATTAAATATTATAATTTTAAATTGATTTTTTTAAAAAAAAAATTCTCATCTTTAAAAAGAAATGAGAAAAAAATAAAAATTGTCTCTCAAAAATAAAAAAAAAGGTTCAATTACTTCACTTAGGCTAATTTGGATTTCATGACAATAGTATCACAATTAGATTGAACACATTTTTATGCGATTAATAATGATTTTATAATAATATATGATCAAAATTTAAAAAGATGATTGAAAAAAATTACGAACACTAATTATGAGATGAAAGAAATAATAATTATTTTTATTTTATTTTTATATTTAGAGAAAATTTATGAACATTTGGTTTTTTTGTAAAATGTCACATTCTTAAAGCCAAAGAGTCTTATGTAAAATTATATCACACAATCAATCTAGTTAAAAATCCCTAATCAAGATAGAGTTTTTATGTCATTTAGAGTTTGATTGCTATTAAGACTCTTTGCATAATGCATGATATCATGTAATATACAATAAGAACATTTATGCCACAAATCATGTAGACCTTTAGGATTATCATCATGCAATTAATGTAAACATCAAGGTTTTTATTTTTTATTTTTGAAATTTATGCCTTTAATTTATTTATAATAATTGTTATTATTGTTTTATATGATATAAACTATTATGTGCATTATGCTCTTTGATTAATAGCCCCATCATGATTTTCAATCCATTTATATCTATGTGATAGCAAAGGCGTGTTTGATAGAGTACAAAAGTGGAAGAACGGATGGTAAAAGATGGAAAAGTGAAAAGAAAATGAATTTTGAATGTGTTTGATGAGAAAGAAAAATGTGAGGAAAGAAAATAGAAAATTATATTAACAAATACAAATCTTTCCAAATTAAAAAGAAAAGAGGAGAGAAAATGAAAAATTGTGAGTAAATGTTACATATTTACAAGATTATACATCATTTTTTAAATTATTTTAATTTTAAAAAATTACATTTTACGTTCTTTCCTTTTATTTTTTGAGTCTACTAAATAATAGAAAATTTTCATTTTCTTTGAAAATTTCCACTTTTTCAACCAAATACTTCAATAGAAAGATAAATCTAATTTTCCATCATTTTATTTTTCATCTCTTTTAATTTCTTTATCCTCATTATTCGTAATTACATGATTGCATTAAAAGACCAAGTGACATAATTATTCCAAATTACATGATTGCATTAAGTGAAAGAAATATGTTATACCAAATAACCTATATAAATTTATTGACAATTTCATAAACAATTTTATATAGATTAAAATATAAAAAATGTGAAAGACAATTAATTTCTAAAAGCGAACCAAATCTTAAAACTCATTGTGTTATCAAACTTAATTGTTGAAGCATTGTGAGGCAATGGCTCCCCCAAGCATTTGAAGCTCAATACAGGACTCACCAAATCTTAAAAAAGTAATTATAACAATATATTACATCAAATTAGCTTCATCAGCAAAATTTTCCTTATGAACTAACGTTCTCTCTGAGCTAGCTTCACTAAAAATGGCATAGAAAAAGCTACTATCAGAAACAAAACATTTCAAATCTATACTATTATACAGCCTGGTGCATGAGTAAATATTGCAGGAGGGATAGTGAGCAATCATGTGTCAAGAACAGTTCAGAATCTTGCTCTCTCTGCCTTTGATGCCATTTTTTGTTATCCGGCGGATGTAAATACGTTGAGGGAGAAATAACTTCCAAGGCAAGAAATGTTGGGGACTGCAGAATGTAGAATATGATCCATCTTCATCCATCCTCCATAAAACACCATAAAGGGCATCCATTAGTGGATTAATGTGCAATTCATTTTGCAGGTAATCTTCACACCCCTTAAATCACATTTGCTTCACTCAGATTACTAAATAGAATAGAAAATTCCCACAAGAAATTATCTTCTTTTTGCTTAACTGCCTTGATCCTTGCCCAGCTACTGAACTACAAGTATAGAGATGCTGCAAACACTATGTCTCTTTTGATCTTAGAGACAGCCTCTTCAAATTTTGACTCGAGCTCTGTCTCTCCAATAGACTTGGCCGCTAAAATAAGCTGCTGAAGAACTTCTTCCAGTCTTCTGATGGCTCTGATTAAGCTGCCCTCGAAAACCTGTGTAATTTCCATAATCTCATAGAACTTGGATCCTTTTGCCCAAGCATATACAGCTTCCATAATATCAGGCCGAAATGAACTTACAAAGCTCTCCACATCAATTTGGACCTGTAAATAAAGAAACGCTTCCTGTAAGTTGTGTATATGTTCTCTTGCAATGCAAGAGTAAAACCACCTGCTCAGCTGTAATCAGTAATCACATGACTGTCACCAAAATAGCAACCTAAAAAAAAAATCTCATTCCTAAATGTACAGTGCCTATGATTCTTTTGACATATGGTGTCTGGACTGACGGACGGGTGCCTTAGGAAATATGTGGTTCCCTATCTTCTGGAAACTGCTCCTATATCACTACTAGTATGGTATTTGTTCTGAGAAAAGAAGAATAGTCCTATGAACCACATTTTGTTACTTTTTTTGTTTTTGCTTTTATTCTCTAATTTAGTTTCTTTGCACCATACTAAAAATCCAACAAAGCCTTATTCATTATTGTTATCGCCATTGCCCTAAACTCTGGGTGAAGTGGTTTTTATCAGATAAAATGATAGGGAATAATTACACTTTTAGTCCCAATCCTTCATGTGTTTCTACCTCTCTGTCCTAAATGTTTGAAAATTGTTGTTCCAGTCATAAAGGTTATGCAGAGTTAAAGAATTTAGGTTTGGAAGTTAACAACACTGAACTGTTTAGGACTAAAATTGTAATTATACCAAATGATACAAATAGAAATAATTGAATAACCTAAGTAAGAACATTAACTGAGAACCGCAACCTTTCATACTGAACTGAGCTTGTTTGAGGTCAAC